CAGCCCAATGTTTCTCAAAAAGACCAGGAATTGATTATGAGGAAAAATATTATCCCGTAATGGACATCATCACTTTTAGATTCTTAATTAGTTTGACTGTGTCATAAAAGCTCGATATGCACCTTATGGATGTAGTAACTGCCTATTTGTATGGTTCACTTGATAGTGACATATATATGAAACTTCCTGAAGGACTTAAAGTGCGAAAAAGAAATGATATATGCCCGAAAATCATGTTCTCAATTAAATTACAAAGATTATTATATGGATTGAAACAATCCGGATGTATGTGGTATAACCGCTTTAGCGAATATTTGTTGAAAGAATGCTATAAAAATGATGATGTCTGCCCATATGTTTTCATAAAGAAAATAAATATTGGATTTGCAATTGTGACAGTTTATGTTGATGACTTAAATTTAATTTGAATTTGTGAAGAGCTCAACAAAACTGCAGATTATTTGAAAATTGAATTTGAGATTAAAGATTTGAGAAAAATCAAATTCTGTCTCGAGTTGCAGATTGAACATTTCCCAGAAGGATTATTTGTTCATCAGTTTACATATACAGAAAAAGTTTTAAAACAATTTTATATGGATAATGTACATTATTGCCTGCAACTGTGGTTGTTCTATCACTCGATATAAAAAGGATCATTTTCGTCCACTTGAAGATTGAGAAAAGATTCTTGGTCCTGAAGTACCATATCTCAGTGCAATTGGAGCATTAACATATCTTGCAAATTGCAATCGACCCGACATAGTTTTATTTGTAAATCTCCTTGCAAGATATAGCTCTACACCAACACAAAGACATTGAAATTGTGTTAAACATATTTTTCGTTACTTAAAGGGTACTATTGATTTGAGATTATTTTATTCTCAAAATTCGGGATCTGCTTTAGTGGGATATGCAGACGCAGGTTATCTCTTTGACCCACATAAAGGTAAATCACAAACATGATACGTGTTTACACGTGGAGGAACGACTATATCATGGAGATCTGTGAAGCAATCATTGACAGCAACATGCTCAAATTATTCTGAAATTATTGCAATCCATGAAACAGGTCGAGAATGTGTATGGTTGAGGAACATGACAAATCATATCCAAACATCATGCAGATTAATTTCAACAAAAGGTAGTCCAACAATTTTGTATGAAGATAATGCTGCTTGTATTGCACAACTCAAATGAGATGATATCAAGGTGACAGGACGAAGCATATTTCTTTACAATTCTTTCATACACACGAGTTTTAGAAGAATGGCGACATCGAGGTTCAACAAATTCATTAAAATGACAATTTAGCCGATTTATTTACAAAAGCACGTCAACGTCTACATTCAAGAAATTGGTTCATGGGATTGGAATACGTCGACTTAAAGATTTTCAGTGATCAATATTAAGAGGAATAGCTGTACTCTTTTTCCTTCGTTTATGTTTTATCCCACTGGGTTTTACTAGCAAGGTTTTAATGAGACATCATTTATCTTTAATACTTCAAAATAACTGTACTCTTTTTCCTTCGTTTTGATTTTTTTTGTCCCATTGAATTTTTATCAAATAAGGTTTTAACGATACATATATTT